GCAACACAATATAAATAATCCTACAAATATTTTTATTTTATTTCCTTCTTATTTTTGTCTAAGCTCAAGGGAGCCAGAGTAGAGGGCTTAAAGAGCTGCATGCGGCTCGAGAGCCGCGGGTTGCCGACCCCTGGGTTAGTATGTTACTACTCCCACTTTGGGGGCAATTAAGGTTACTTTAACTTTGAACTTTTCCGATTCAAATGCTTCAAACTCTTACGTCAGACTTAAAAAAACAAAGCTACATTCACTCTCTTCATCCTAACAGAAAGTGACCCATGTTACAACTGGAAAGTTAGCATGATAGAGTCACACAACATACTCACATCCTGCTTAAAATACACTGATCTTGACTCATTATGTTTAAAAATAATATCTGACTATTACACAGGACTAACCCCCCACGCACATGTTTGATACTTGCATTGTATAAAATCCAGTTAAGTAATATTTAATTATTTTTGACAAAAAGTTAGTTATTACGAAATGAAGTCAATTTGTATATTTGTTTCCAGTTTCATGCTGCCAGATAGATACATTTATAATGATATACAATATAACCAGTTATTAGTAGATTTATATTTTTGATTTATATTTTGTACAGTATATTTTGTACTAAGTATAATACAAGTAGCTTCAATATCTTCTATCATGTTATTTTTAGGCATATATTAAGGGTATCAGATATATCAAAATATATAAAAAACGTGTCTATGATGTGTTTTGCTCAAAATACCAAACAGATCATGCATTTTAGACATCCCTCGTATCCCTCTATTTCAGCCCTGTTGCAACACACTCTCACTCCCTAAGCGTCCAGGAGCAACGCTTGGTCAGGGTCCCGTGGCGTCCAGTTGTGACGCGCCGAGTCTCCTTCAGCTTCATAAACGGACGCAAAGAGCTTTCAACTGATTGCAATGTATTCCCATCGGCGTCGGTATTTGACGCTTAGGGAAGCACGGCATTCGTTTGGGTCGGAGGCTGTTAAAGGCAATGTGAGCGTCCATTCCCATTGGATAACGGAGAATTGTACACCCGGAAGTAAGTATTCCCCTTACTGTCGATTGATTTGACAGTGATATCTCCACTACTCATCAACTCAAAAACACCAGATTATCCTTGTTAATTAAACGACATTGATAGGTTTTAGTGTGTGTACAATGCTTTTGTCACGTTTTCCCCTTCAATTCTGAGAAACAAGTCGTTTTCTGTGAGTTTTGGATGGCCGAAGACATTACATTACCCACAATCCTCTGTAGCAACCATAGACTGTATAAAACAATTAAATAATACATTATTCCGAGTGTGCTTGCTTTTCTCTTTGAAAGTAATCACATAACGGCATTGTAATACACGTTTCGGCTGCATTAAATATGACATATCTGCCGTAGTTAACTCTGCCTTGATGACAAGACTTCTAGACAAACAGGAACTGCCGCCAAAACTGAAAACTTGACGTGGATCTTAAATATATAAGCAATTAATCAACATCTTACATTTCTTTTCACACAATACGACTCCTTGCAGTATCAACACTAATTCGGCTGACTTTTATATTTGATCCAATTGGTAGATAGGCTGTATTTACGCCATAACGGTGCACAGCTGATAGAAAGGGACACCTACTGGTTAAAGCACGTTATTGCATTTTATAATTTTATTATTAGATATTAATAGGACCCCTATAAAGTATATTCTTTACTCGTCGTTATTCTCTACTAATAGTTAATTAAAGACTGCATATAATGACTATTTTCCACATCCCATTCAAGATTTCAAGATTTTCTAAGGTTTATTGACATATCATATTATACACAACTACGGTTTAGTTATGCAATGAATGAAAAACTTGGGTCGCAGGTTCCTCAACAAGACATCTATCAATAAACTGTGACCTTTTTACCTGTGCTGGACTATGGTGATTTATTGTATATGAATGCACCTGCCCATTGCCTGAACAAGTTAGATGCCGCCTATCACAGCGCACTGAGATTTGTCACAAACTGTAAAGCACTTACACATCACTGTACCCTGTATGCCAAGGCAGGTTTGCCATCACTTACTGTACGGAGGCTCAGTCATTGGTACACGTTTATTTATAAAGCTTTGTTGGGCAAACTCCCGTATTATATCTGCTCTCTGATAACACAGAGAGTTGCAAGCAGCTATTGTCTGAGATCGCATGATGTAGTATTGTTAGATGTGCCAAGAGCAAGGACTGTCTTAGGTAAGACAGCTTTTATGTGTGCAGCTCCACTTGCTTGGAACAATCTTCAGCAAGAATTGAAACTGAGCAATCTCATTCCTCTGCATGTTTTTAAAGCTAGGCTAAATGAAATGCTCGTTGATACTATGGGTACTTGTAAATGTCTATAACTATGTAAATGTATCCTGTAAATATAATGTATGATGTCCTTTATTGTTTTATGTTTCATGTGGAACCTATATGCTGCAGGTCTCCCTTGAAAAAGAGATCTATGATCTCAATGGGACCATCTGGTTAAATAAAGGTTTGAAATTAAATGAAAAATATGTGTGTACCTCCACCATTACATTGTCATATTCTGCACATTCCTTATACTATCTACATACATTTTATAAGAGTATAATACATATGTATAATATCAGTTAAAATAAGTGCTTAAACATAGTTAACATGGCAGGAAAGCAATATATTAGACGTTAAGTACTTTGTCAGGCTTAATATTTATCTGTAGATACAAATGTCACTGTGTGTGCTGTGCTCTGCATGTGTGACCATCAAAGAGGGTTTCATCCCTCCATATTCATCTTCTATACCCCAAAGCTTTTTTCTTATTCAAAAGAAGACCTTAACCTAAAGTATTCTTTAATGTTTAAATAAAGCCTTATTAGTTTGTCTGTTTTGCACATCCTCCTATTAATATCTAATAATAAAATTATAAAATGCAATAACGTGCTTTAACCAGTAGGTGTCCCTTTCTATCAGCTGTGCACCGTTATGGCGTAAATACAGCCTATCTACCAATTGGATCAAATATAAAAGTCAGCCGAATTAGTGTTGATACTGCAAGGAGACGTATTGTGTGAAAAGAAATGTAAGATGTTGTTTAATTGCTTATATATTTAAGATCGACGTCAAGTTTTCAGTTTTGGCGGCAGTTCCTGTTTGTCTAGAAGTCTTGTCATCAGGGCTCTATACATAGTTAACTACGGCAGATATGTCATATTTAATGCAGCCGAAACGTGTATTACAATGCCGTTATGTGATGACTTTCAAAAAGAAAAGCAAGCACACTCGGAATAATGTATTATTTAATTGTTTTATACAGTCTATGGTTGCTACAGAGGATTGTGGGTAATGTAATGTCTTCGGCCATCCAAAACTCATAGAAAACGACTTGTTTCTCAGAATTGAAGGGGAAAACGTGACAAAAGCATTGTACACACACTAAAACCTATCAATGTCGTTTAATTAACAAGGATAATCTGGTGTTTTTGAGTTGATGAGTAGTGGAGATATCACTGTCAAATCAATCGACAGTAAGGGGAATACTTACTTCCGGGTGTACCATTCTCCGTTATCCAATGGGAATGGACGCTCACATTGCCTTTAACAGCCTCCGACCCAAACGAATGCCGTGCTTCCCTGAGCGTCAAATACCGACGCCGATGGGAATACATTGCAATCAGTTGAAAGCTCTTTGCGTCCGTTTATGAAGCTGAAGGAGCCTCGGCGCGTCACAACTGGACGCCACGGGACCCTGACCAAGCGTCGCTCCTGGACGCTTAGGGAGTGAGAGTGTGTTGGTTTTGGCAGATCCTCTGCTGGCCCCGCCCCCTTTTGAGCAGCAGGCACACTGTGAGTTCTGTGACGAGCTGTCTGCTCTGCTCAGATGCAGCTAAATGCTGCCGTGATTAAACACCATATCATGTTCCAAACCACTTCAAGGATTATTTCTGAAACAGTATGGAGCTCAAATGCTTCTTTTCTTGCGGGTTTACTACAAGGTGAGTTTCTTTTTTTATTTCCTGCTTTTTTACACATACTCTCTCCAGTACAGGTTAGCTCTGAGTGTTAGCGATGCTTGCTAATGTAAACAAAGACCATATTACTTCCAAAACACATCGCGCATTGTTTCTGATAGCGACATTTCTGAAAGGGGTGTAAAGCCAGCCCACAATTCCGATATTACGTCATATCGGACCCGAATCTGGATCAGCTCCGTTACCCCCGTTTTAGTGGGTACGGATAAAAGAGAGGGTTTTATTTTCTGACACTTTGTGGGTTCACACCGGGGACACATAGATATGTATAAAAGACAAAAAGTGCATTTTGCATGATAGGACACCTTTAAGTTATGCATTTAGTGTAGTAAAAAGCCATCATTTAGTGTCTCTTTGGCAATTTTGCACCTTTTTATGATTTCATTTCTCTATTTGTCGTTATATGTTTATTTGTGGTTATTAGGAGTGGTATGTGTCTTTTTGTGGAACATTTTGGAGGTCAAAGCCACTACCCCTGTTCAGAAATACATCCTTCTGTATTTTATATTCTCTGAGGTGTTAAGCCCCACTAGAAGGGGCCTCATATTTAAACTGGAGGTAACCGCACGCTGTTTAGGCTGTTTCCTTCCTGCAGAAGTGAACATGTTTGACACCCAAGTCTTTAAATGCAAATAAAAAATGTTTTGGTATATTAAAAAGATAAAGTGTGGCTCCTCTTATAGGCCATTCCCCTTTTGTGTATGTTTGTCATATTTTGTCCTTTTAAATTGTATGGTTCTTAATGAGGTTTGTAGTAGTACAGTAGTTGCAGTTGCTTTTGTATTTGTAATAAGACATGTGCAATAGCGATGTTGCCCAGTTGTAGAGCATGAATGACATCTACGTTTATTAAAGAAATGTCCACACACATAAAGAGAGTCAACATTTTGCTGTGCACGTCACTAGATATGAAGTAAGAGGCTGCTGAGTGAACTGAGAGGCGCCACAGTGTCACAAAATAGCAGCACTGAGTTTTTTTCGGTCTCACTCACAGTTTTGTTTCCTGTACAGCCGTCAGTCACATTGCATCAAAAACATGGCTGTACGGAGAAAAGACAGCTTCCTCTGGGGAAAAGGTACGCTATCATTTTTATTTTTAATCAATATAATGAGGAAAAGCTACCATTCAAAAAACAATATCAAGGCTTTTGTGGGATTTGGGAGGTTAGGTCAATAGAATTCACTTCAAATGCTGCTAATAGATTTTGTGGGTAACAATCTATTCAGTAATGTTGACTTATCTTGTATGTTTGGCCCTATATGTGGAAATTATTTTTCATTTTCTACAACAGATACTTGACAATTCAGTTGTATTCTTTATCATTTGAGACCAAATTAAAACTTAACTAGCTTTTTACATGTTACTTGATTTTTACGCCACAAAATTGGGGACTAACCCACACAAATTCAAATAAAGTGTGCTTTAATTAACCCAAAATCAGCCTTATTAATGTAAGATATAATTTGTAACTTTTGGGTATTCAAATCTCAAATAGATCTATGTTATATATCTGTTTGAGTTGTGTAATTAACCCTAAACGTTTCCAATAAGTTCAATTTTAGCGGAACATTGTAGGAGAAACACTTATTTTAAACATTAAATTGTGTTGTTATCATGGGGTCAGTTTTGGGAGAGTAGGAAACCTCTGCGGATAATTTGGCGTCTGGTAGAAAGCTCCAGAACATCTGGATCTAGAATTATCAGAGGAACAAGCTGAGCTTACATCAGTACCTTTTTGGTCAAAGCACTTAAGTCGGTTTTCCACTGGCCAGCATTGAAGAATCGCTGATTTTTAACTAAAATAGCTATATATTTGTGTTTTTTTTACTGGTTTTAATGGGCACCCAAAAACTTCCTGAATGATGAAAATGAAAGAATCCTAACTCGGATAAACTGTGGTGGTGAAGAGAAACCCTCCCATTATCCCATGCTACAGGACACCAACCAACTCTTGGTATTTGTTCATTGAGAGACCCCTTGTGGTAGAGCATTACATATTGTGCCTTTAACTTGCTATTTAATCGGTTTCAAATCATCCCCCCATTAACAAATTCGCACAAAATAACATGATTTGTCCTTTAAAGGCCATAGAGAACTCAAAATTAACCTTATTCATTGTAAAGAGGAAGGGGATGTTTTTAGACCTCATTCCCTACTTACTGTCCACTAACTAGGAGGACGTTTGGATGTATGCTAGTCTGTGAGAGAGGGAGCGTAGGTGTGAGCTACAGTAGGTTGTCAAGAAAGTGCACAGTGCTGCTGAATGTCTACTGATTGCCTTCCCAAATATACTTTTTCCACAGGTCCACCAAGCCTAGCCCCAGGAGAGAGGAGGGATGGTGACACCTATGGGATTCACACATTTCAAATGCTGGATGACATTCAGGTAATGTGGTGAATATATCCCTCCAAGGTCTTACAATAAATCCCTCATTATTCTTCTCCTGGCTGCCTTGACAAAGCTCTCAGCACACAAAGGCATTTCATTCAACACGTTTAAATGAAATATTATTTAAATATCCTCTTTTATAACTGACGGGGACCAATCGGCCCTGCGTCATCTAGCATTGATTCTATGGGGATCTGTAATAATGACAAATCTTGGTACTAAGCTTACAACACTGCTCTCATTCTCATCTCCCTGTCTCAGAAGCTGAGGATGGAAATCAATCACGTCATGCCAGATATCCACAACCCCTTAATGAAGGAGCAGAAGTGAGTATTTCTTGCTCTTTTTTTTTTATAGATCAGCTTCTCTATGAGTCAGCACGGCCTTTCGCTCATATTTAAATGACACTGCCAGACTACCACTTCACTTGTAGTAAGTGCTCAGTTTGAACATTTCGTATAAGCAGCATTTTGTGATTTTCTTTTTGAGTCAGAAGTCAACATATTTTCGATTAGATGCTGCACTTGCAGTGTAACCTTTTTAAGAAATTCAGTTCTAAAAACATCAGGGTGAAAGGTTTGAGTGGCAGGTTTAAAAAGGTTACACTGCAAGATGCTGCACTTGCAGTGTAACCTTTTTAAACCTGCCACTCAAACCTTTCACCCTGATGTTTTTAGAACTGAATTTCTTCTTATGAAAATACTTGACATAGCCTGTAGCAGTGGTTCCCAGCCTCGATTGCAGCCTCACAGCTCTGTCAACTGTTTATCCAGAACTTCAAGCTAACTATTTGAACCATTGATCCATTCCTTTTGATTGCAATTTCAGCTGTTCATCCTTTAGTTTGGCCTACTTATTTAGACAATGTATCCATTACTTTTAGCCAACTATTTCAACTGTTTATCTTAATTTGTTTTTTTACTGTTCATCCATTGTTTTTAGATAGTTTGCCAACTTTAGTTAAAGATGGCAATAATTATTTCAACTTATAGTTTATTTCTAGTTTTACTAGAACCATGGAGTATAAGTACTTCTGTTGGTCACTGATGTTCAAAGTCTTGTAAAGAGATTATGTGCATGTGGCTGACTTCCTATTGCTTTTGACGCTGATTTCCGAAAGTGATAATTACATACATTTCATCTGTATGATGACACTTCATTTAGCTAGAACTGTGCTACTGGCTTGATAAACACTCTTATCAGTAGGCTACTGGACTGCTAATCTCACCCAAAAACTACAAATACAATTATGAGATACACCTTTAAGAATAATTCAGATAATGCTCTGAGGAATTTATTTGAGACAGAAAATTAATTGATAAACATGTTGATAGTTTTAATAGTTGATTTATCAGTCTAGTTATTATCAAGTCGAGTCAAAACTCCAAATAACTTCTCGTTTAAACATTTTGAGCCTCAGCAACATATAATGTTTTTGTTTTTGAAATGTCTTTATGATTTTATGTCTTTCATATAAATATAGCAAAACTGCAAAAAAGTGATGCTGTATCCAGATTGAGTTGCAAACATGACTTTTTCCCTCCAGAGGGAGTTTCTCTCCCACAAGCCTCAATTATAGTCCTTTGTTTACTTCAGTGACATAGTGACATCACTATGTAAAACTCGCTTCTATTGGCTAGCACCCCCACACATTGGTTGTGATATGCTAATGAGTGGATGATCTCTAAACTGTTGACCAATCACCACAGAGACAGCCAGCTAACCAATCAGAGCAGACTGGGCTCTGGTTTCAGACAGAGGGTGAAAAGTATGAATTTGTCAATGAGCATAATATGTCTGCTTTATTTAATAATTGTATTTATGTTGTATGATATACTAATGTAAACATTGATTTGTTTCCTTTATTGCAGTAAAAATGTTGTGAGGAACAAGAGATTCTTACGTGGGAAAAAGAAATTCAACATGGACCCAAACAAGGTGAGTTTATTTCCTATTTTATAACAATCTAATAATTATATTCAACATTTTAAAAATATGCTACAGTGAGTAAAGGGGTAGAAGCTCCCCTGGATCTGAAGGTCAACAGTCTGATGACAGCGAATATAACTTGTCACAGAGCTGATGTAGATTAGAGTATGTTCTGTCTGTCTGTGTTGTGCAGAAACGCAAACTGTGCACAGACACAGAGGATGATGAATAGCGAGAACAGCCACATCCTGTTCCCTGAAGTAGTGCAGAAGCGCCACTTCACCACAGCGACCTACGTCTTTTTAGCTGCTTCCTCTCTGCGTACTCGGTTAAAAACTGAGTCTCTCGGCACGTGACCGCTCTGAGCTCGGGCCTGAGGACACATACAAGTGGGAGGAGGAGAAGTTTTAAGGCTTCTTGGGGTTAAAGGGGTTTTGAAAGTGCAATTGATATGAATAGCTACTCAACAGGAGTGCACACTCAGAAGAAAAGGTCATATTTTAAGTTTTGGATGTGAACATGCTTTGAGATTTAGTAAGATAATGGTGTGTTAACCTTTTTCGCCTTCTTTGTCACGGTGATCAATGACTCAGAGTGACTCAGAGGAGTAGAAGAAAACTTTCTTGATTATCAACCTACAGAGTTGGCACTGCTGATAAGAATATAAACAAGCTTTGGCCAACATAAAAGCTTGTCAGGGACGTTCACAAACTACAGTTTCTATAGAAACAGCCAATATTCAATCTACATTTCAAACTAGCTAAAGAAATGTTAATGCCTGTAAGTGACCTTTAGTCAACTTACACAAACATTAACATAATGGCCCTTTCTCCACCCCCCTCAAATATAACATCTAGCAAACTAATCCACTTCAATGCTCCATTGTGGTAAGCTACATTTTTTCATCGAATCATATGATGCTATGATGAGACGCTCCATTTATTGGCAAAAAAAAGGGCCATTATACAACTTAACTTGCTGATATTTATTTAAGTATATCCCACATTCCTAGAAACCAGGGACAGTTCATTTAACTGCAGTATCAAACTCGACCCCAGGGACTGAGGTTTGAATGACCGTTATATGCAAAAACCATTCTGCTACCCTGGGTCTCTTAATCAAAACAATAACAAAGGATGGAGTTTAGTGGCGTCGTAAAGTAGAGTGGGATCATGGCACTTGTCTTCACCACCATTGACGTCAGCTTCTTCCAGTGTTCATGTTCATTAGGGTTTTATTTGGAGTACTAAATCAAAAATATAAGGTACTCTTTGTTAACATGGACATAACTGATTTGCATGCTAATGTTTTTACAGGGTGTCCATTACCTAGTGGAAAATGAATTGCTGGAATGGCGAGCAGAGTCAGTGGCTGAGTTTCTTTACAAAGAGGAGGGACTGAACAAGACCGCCATTGGCAACTTCTTGGGAGACAGGTAAAGTGCTCTGACAAAATGTGAGCCTGGTGGTAACTAACTGAAATGGGTTGTAATAAAGCAGCGCAGTCTATGCTAAAATGCACAAAACTGCAAATAATCGAACGGCCACTCTAGGCTGGCTCCAAAATGTCGATCTCCAAAGACCCCCACGTTAAAATGGCCAGAATTAGAGCAAAAATAAACGTTTTTGAAATAATGGTTTTGGGATCTATAGCTTATATCCCTTTTGTTGACCACTGCACGGGATGTAACTTTTATAAAACTCACCTGTTTAAGATATACTCGGGCTTAAAGTTATTTAACCATATCACTGGTTGCTTTGAATGACAGGCGGGTGCCGTCAAAGGTCATGGATGTAACTTCGATCAGGAGGAAAACCGAAACTGAAATATATCCTGATGCCACAAAATGAAGCATAAACATTCATTTAGATCAAAAGCAGTGGTTGAATAAGTACTATTTACTTTAATCAAAAGAACCAGTGCAATGAACTACTCCAGCCAATTATCGGCCACATGTACTATTACAAATAAAAAAAGTACTCATTCCGCATTTAAATGTTTTTTTTATAAAAGGGTTTACACTGCATCTTAACATTGTGTTTACTATATTTGAATTTCACACAGGGAGGAAATGCATCTGCAGACACTGAAAGAGTTTGTGGGCCTGCATGAATTCTCCGACCTGAATCTGGTGCAGGCGCTGAGGTTCGTCTCGCAGAATTTATTTGAAAGTCAGCAAAAAACGTTGCAGCAGTTTTACCTTTTTTCTTGTTTTCTGATGATGAGGGATTTCTCCTCCTTCTTCACAGTGTGTGTTTGATATTGTTTATGCATGTTGTTTGACTCCTCTGCCGTCTTGCAGGCAGTTCCTCTGGAGCTTTCGTCTCCCGGGAGAAGCTCAGAAGATTGACAGGATGATGGAGGCGTTTGCAACTCGCTACTGCGACTGTAACCCAGGGGTCTTTCAATCCACGGGTACGAACAACAAAGGCGCTGCCTGACTCACTTTCTCAGACAGTCCAATTAAAAAGTTTCCCTAATTTCATAAATATCTGTAGAAGACAAGTTATCCACTGTTATATTTATTTCTTTTCACAAAACACGACAAGCCTTGCTATCTTCTCAACTCTGCCTCACACAAACCTTTTATTTATAATGGGGTTTTATTTGATGATGAACAGCTGAAGGAAACTAACTGTGGTGTGTGTATTTGTGTTGATGTGTGTTACAGACACATGCTACATCCTGTCTTTTGCCATCATCATGCTCAACACAAGTCTCCACAACCCCAACGTGAAAGACAAACCCAGTCTGCAGCGATTCATTTCCATGAACAGAGGAATCAACCACGGAGAGGACCTGCCCACAGAACTGCTCACGGTCTGATGCCATTACCAATACTTCTGCTTAAAAGGGATGGTTCACCTCAGAGTTGGATTGAAAATGCCATATAAATGTCATATAGCAGAACTAGATGGCACTGATCCTTTGCTGCTCAGAAACTAAAAATACATGTTGAAATCTCAACAGCAATGTCTCTAAATATAATGAACAAAACTTGTTGTGAGCAGTTTCAAGTGAACTACACCGTCCAATCACATCACAGTGCGGAAGGAAGTACGAAAGGCTTGTTGCCATGTGTAGTTTGGTATAAAGGAATTTTTTCTGATATGAGACTGCTTACTAAAAGATCTGAGGAATAGCTTGCTTACTAAATATAAAAGTTTGAAAAATATAACTTATTCTCATATTGAGTTTAGTGCAGGATACATTTACACATTTCTTGCCAAAAATATTTTTGTACAGGTTTATTTGTTCTCCTTGGCTGTGGAACACACTGTATGAACAAGTTGTTTTTGAGCCTTTAGACAACAGTAGACTTTAGCAAAAACTCTGGTTTGAAGGTTTTTGACCTTCATCCAACATTTTTTAAGGAAAACCAGACTTTCGAAAACTTGAAATATTCTACATCTGAAGTTGAAATTGTCATCTCTTCCAGAAACTGTATGCGAGCATCCGCAGCGAGCCATTCAAAATCCCTGAGGATGATGGGAACGACCTCACGCTGACGTTTTTTAATCCAGACAGAGAAGGCTGGCTCCTTAAAATGGGTGAGAAGATGAAGATTTTGTAACACACAGAAGATAATCTGACATTTCTGAAGGCTTTTAGACTCTCCTGTGCATTAGGGCCATTGTAAGTAAAAAAACGAATTGTTATTGCAGAGCCAGAGGAGGGCGGCTTAAATTCTCTGATACAAATTAATTGAGAACAAATGTGTACATTAACCATAAAAAAAAGATCAAATCGAAGCTTTAATATGCTGTTGTATTTAGAGAAGATTACAAAAATAAAAAGTTTTCCTACAATTATTTTGTCTTTGTTGAAGGTGGGCGAGTTAAAACCTGGAAGAGGAGGTGGTTTATTTTAACAGACAGCTGCTTGTACTACTTTGAATACACCACCGTAAGTATTTGTCTTTCTGCTGCTACAAAACCTTTGCTTCAACAGTAAATATTCTACTGGGGGTTTAAAGGTTGAATCTGTGTTTAATATCCGCCTCTTCCTGCAGGATAAAGACCCGATAGGTATTATTCCTCTGGAGAACCTGTGCGTAAGGAGTCTACCAGACAACAACAAACAGGTATTTGAGTTTTGAGCTGCTTCAATACCTTAAATACTGGGAAAGCATTTTATTTAAAGGCAACTAAATAATAACATTTCTAAAATGAAATGAGCTATCGTGACAAACATTCATTATCAGAATGAAAATCTAGAAGAATGGGAATATTACAAAATAAAAAATAACCCTCCCATAACTGGAGATACATTCAGGGAGATTCCCCAAATGTTTAGTTACACAATCCTCTTCTCCTTAGATAATGTGTACAAGCTATAGGATGTAACAAATCTTAAATATTTCTTTCAAAAAGCTGGAATTCTTAGCAGTGATGAGGATTTCATGGCAGTGGTTATCTGTAATTAAGTGATTCTAGAAGAATATCTTCCTCTTGCCATATTGCAAAATGTATTTTTCCACTCGTTTACTGTGTATGTGTCACTTTTACAGCTGTGGGACCTTGTATTTTTAAACTGACGTTTAGAAGTGTGCTCTGTCCCTAATGAATACACAATTAAAACACAATCTGCTGCCAAACAACTTAATGAATGACACAGTTTATTTCTAAATTAATATATTTAACACAAGTGTTGAAACAGCGAGTCAAAAGCCTATCAGAAAGCTCATAGAACAAACAGAAAGCATAGGCACAAAGTAACAGTACGGCATGTGTGTCTTTGTCTGTGTTTGAACAGTATTGTCTGGAGTTATATAACCCTAAAGGACAAAAGATCAAGGCCTGCAAGACGGAGAACAAAGGCAGAGTGGTGCAGGGCAAACATCAGTCCTATAAGCTGAGGGCCGCCGGACCCGAAGAGCGGGACGCCTGGATGGATGCGATCAGGTAAGAACTGTCAACGTTATGGAGAACTCACAGGAAACATGTCAAATATCCATAAATATTTCAAAAATGTCAGAAACTATGAGGAAATTATCAAGAAAAAAAGTATGGAAAATACCGGAAAAATCTGTCTACTAGTAACATTTGCAGATTCCATTGTAAGTCAAACAATTTAAAGATTATACCTTGAGAGCTGTAAATAGTTATTTTTTTCTCTATTTTCTTTCATATATAGATTTAATATATTCATTAATAATCAATACTAGCAGTTGCCCAGGCTACTGTAGAAGTGGCAATGCCTGCAGTACAGATAAAATGGTCACTTTGTTGACATAAAGGCAAAGAGAAAAATATACTACTACTTCTACTCTTGATGATCTCAGTATAAAACTGAATACAAAACTTCTCTTTCAGGACATGCATCACCAAAGATCCGTTTTATGACCTGGTTTCTTTGCGAAAGAGGAAGGTCACAGGCAACACCTCCTGATGGGCCTGAAACACAAGGCATTAGAGGAAAAGTATTTTTAATCCTGCATGATGTGTGAATACATTTTTATAGATGAATCACCCTGTGAATTTGCCAAACGTGAATAGCAAAGCATTTCTCAGAAAGGTTCAAATTGGAAAGTAACATTTGTTGAAGTGTAAAATGTTGAGTCTTGACCTTACTTCTGCAAACGGCATGCACTACTGCACAGACTTCAGGGAATGCTAGTCCTACTGACAAACATCTGCTATCAGAGAAGAGATCGAAGGAAGGCTTGATAGTGTCCTAAAAGTAAAACTGAACAGGCCTACTGGGTGCAGGTCCATGGCCCCTACGACCAAAACTCTTCATCAAGTGACCGTGAATTTCTATTGCAAAATAAATCCATAAAATATGTCCAAAACCATAACAAAGCGAAGAGAACCAAGAAAAAACATGGAATACAACCAGGATAAGATGAAAGATTACCTAAAAATAGATAAATGGTAAATGGACTGTACTTATATAGCACTTTATCCAGTCTTTACGACCCCTCAAAGCGCTTTACATGCTACAAGTTCTTCACCCATTCACACCCATTCATACAGAGCAGTGTACCTTGCTCTGGGAACTAACATTCACACACCGTTGGCCATGCCATCGGGAGCAACTCAGGGTTAAGTATCTGATTGAAAGAAGACCACACTCCCTCGCAGCCACAGTCGCCCTTGAAAATGGAAAACATGGAAAACATCCACAAAGAGACAAAAAATTACAAAAAGAAGACTCAAAGGGACAACACGGAGATGTAAAGTGTAGGAAATGGGATGCGAGCGATTCACAATGTTTTAGACAAGATTAAAAAATAACTGCAAAGCATTGTAAAAAGTCTAAAAAGATATATAAAACAAGCACAAAGACAACAGAAAAAAGAAAAGAAACGGAAAAAAAGAAAGAAGACACAAACATAATACAAAGAAAAAGCCAGTAGTCATTTTGTCTTACTATCCTCTGGGCTATTTGGAGTAACAATTATTTATTATTATTGATTGAAATGTCTTTTTATTTAGAATATTTAAACATTTATTGAACTGAATCAACAATCTTACTTTATATAATGTACAGTTTTATGATGTAAATAAAGTGCCTTCAATTTGAGCTCTTGTTCAAAACGTTGACTTTTCTTACTCATCTAAACATGAAAATGAATTATCATAAATATTTTTCTTTTACAATAGAGTGCATTATTACTGATACATTGTTGTATATACATTTAAAAAGCAGGTTGAAAAAACTGAAAAGAAAATTAACTTATGAATACTATTTTTAAATGGTCACTGTACAGTATATTCTATTTAGCTTGAACGTGTTTTATTATGTTGTTATAATTTAATGACTATATTGATGGAGGATTAAAACCCATGTTGGAAAATAAACTGGTGTTTTGTGAATCTGTTTCTCCAGCAGATGGAGCTGCATCTTTATTTATTCTATCATTGGGTTGTTCAAATATGAACTTTTCCTGTGACACACTGACTCTATCTTGTATTGCTGTCATAATGATGATGCAAAGTGAGAAGTTAATCTATTGTGAAACCATCGGTTATCAGATTCAGAAGTAATCGGATGTGTAGGCTCTTCCTGTCGTGAGTGTGTGTGATGCTGTGATAAAAGTTGTGGCTTCCTTGGAGCAGGTACACCCCCTCACTAACAAACTGTTTTTATGTATTTCATCTCCTCAGTATATATTGATCAAACATGGGAGTGTTTGTTAGTTTGGACTGGATTGTGTATACATGTCAGGCTTCTTTCCTAAAGCTTACAGGACCCTAATGTTTTCAGTTTCCCGTGGCTTTTCATAGACCTCAATGCGAGATAAAAACATCTTTCAATGTTATTTTTTCTTACTAAAATCCTATATGTGGAAATGTTTTATTAGGTTGCAAAACATACATATTTATTTTTTTCTTCATCATGTGCTTGTAATATGTTTTTGGTATCCACTGTGTTAAAAGATAGGGTCATGGTTAGTAAAACCTAAAAAAGGTGGCTAAATACAATTCTTGATGGTATACCAAATAGGGAAATATTTGTTGTTGCATAAGACAGTGATTCTCAAAGTGGGGAACATGATTTTATTCAGAATATATAATTTAGGTTATCATGATATAACTTTTTATATATTTTCTAACAAAAGATGTCTTGGGTCTTTCAAGGGTCAATCGTTTTATTTTAATTATTACATCAAATAGTTCACATTTTACTTAAAAATGTTGTATTACTGATTTACAGTTAACAGATTCTGTTATATTCCTATGGTGAGCACAGGCTATATATATATATATATATATATATATATATATATATATATATATATATATATATATTATATAGCCTATGTATGCACTAAAAGTGAAACATTTTCTTGTGTGTAGTTTGCAAAATGCACGATAGAAACCTAAAGTATTTTCTTTTCAGGGAGACCATTAAGCAGGATTTAGAGCTTAAAGTAATGCAACAGAATATAACTTAGAAATGTGTCATATTGGGTCAAATGAACAATCTGATTAAGCTTTTATTACATTATTTGGCATTCTTTGAAAGATATCCCCACGTTTGAATCTGACTTGGCATCTTAATTCACACACAAACCATTTTTTTCAAGTCTTTTATTCAATCTCTGCTACAAAATTAGGATTATTTGCTTCTCAAATAGTTCCTCAAGGATTCACATTATCGTCTCTGCCAGTGAACAAAAGCAAAGTGTAAACAAACAAAGTCCTCACACTGCAGGAAGCCGAGCAGGCGTGTGTCTGCACCGCTGAACTCAACACAGCGTACATCATTCACCGCCTGCACGATGCTCTCTGATCAACACTTATTCTGTTACTAAGGCTCCTCAGTCCGAAAGGCAACACTCGGTGACAAACAGCACATCTGATCACTTCTCCTGTCTCCATAGCAACCAGGTGTGATAATCCTTGGCTGCTCTGTGGTGACCAGGTTCATGCATGTCATATAAGAAAACACTTAAAGGGATAGTTGGATGTTTTGAAGTGAGGTGGAGCGATGAACTTATCTACAGTCACACTGTATTACATTTTTAAGGCCTTAACACATAGGTTTTTTTCATTTGCACCATGAAAGAAATTGTTGTAAAACAAAATGTAAATTATTTTACAAAATAAAAATGATAATGTTATATTTAAATACAGCTCTGGAAAAATTCAAGAGACCACTCCAAGTTTTTCTTAAATCTCAATCTCTACATCAGGGGTGTTCAAACTACGGCCCAGGGGCCAAATGCGGCCCGCAGACCATTTTGAATCGGCCCTCAGCAAATTCAAAAAGTATAATGGAGTATGGCCCAAAAATGAAACTTGTGCTTGTCTTATATTGCACTTCTTAAATATAGATGAAAACAGATATTACACAGTGTTCATGTGTTAAGAAGCCCACTCTTCAAACAAATTCAGTCAATTCAAGTTGAAAACATTTTCTATCAAATCTAAGTTGAGTCTAAGTCAAACCACTGTCGCAATCGGTGCCATTATGAATATTTTCTATGCAAAATATTTGTACGCAAGTATTTTGCTCTTCCTGTTGTTTTTGCCTCGTCAAACAAAAACACCAACAAAATAACTGATCGAGGCAGCAGTAGATCAGCAACAAGGTTTGCAAGTTCAAATTAACTTTTTTGTCCATGTCTGGTAGCTTTGAATCTAACAGTTTCTGAACCCTGCTGAAAAGGGCCACCTGACAGCAAGGTAAAGCAGCTAAATTATTCTAAATATAGTATGCAATTTAACTGATATGAATTGTTTAGTTGTCTAAAATATGTTTTGCTGCTACCCCAGTCCAAAGAAGTACATTGCTTAGATTTCAGCTGGTGCTCCCATCTGTTTCTCCAAACCTGAAGCCAACCACCATCTATTGTAGGTACAATGACTGTGGATAAGTAGATCAAAAAACCTTACTTCAAAAATAATTAACTATCCCTTTAACTGTAGAATAATTTAATTTAAAAAAAAAAACAAAGGCAATGAAATCGCCCTCCATTAGCACTTTGGCAACAATGTTTAGATTCTCTGAGAGGAGTTTTTTCCTCACATGATTAGTTGAGCTACAATATCTCTCTCTCCTCTCCTTTACTTCACCTGCAGTATACCAGGCCAGAGAGCGTCGTGTCACCTGGTTACGGTAAGCAGATACTGTGACTCATACTGTTTCATCTGGAGATCCTCTGCTGCTCCTCATAACTCTGACTGACCTCTTGTTTTTCATCTCATGACTGGATGCAATTCTTCTTTTGATGCCGCCGGCGGCTTTTAGTTCCTGTTGAGAAAAATAAAAAAATAAAAATAACTTAAGTATAAAACTTGAGGGCACTTACAGAGCATAGATCTGTGCCAATGTCAAAAATGGTTTTGTTATAGCCCCTCAAATGTGAAAAGGTCCAAATTATAACACTGACTACAATTACATCCAGTTTTCGCCCTTATTCCAAAAATAATACAATATTCCTGCTAAGCATGGCAGACCTCAGCTAAGTCCAAGTTGTACCAACCTGAAGTGGCCTTAACATGAGGTTTGTACGATTATTCCTACAGAAGGCGGTTAGTAGTTTTAACAAATCCACTAGGGGCAGACTTGCTCATCTCCAAATACATGCCTTATATCCTAGCCTTTTTTATCATGTTTAAACGTAGGAGTTTTTCTCCTTCTGACCAGAAATATGGGATTTTCTCTTGATTTAGTTACTAAAACAAGAGGAAATCCCACATCTTTCCACATATCAGAGCTACCGATAAGCAGGTTTAAGGCAGGAGTAAAAATACACAATTGAGATGCATGTTCTGACATTTTATTTAACAAACTAATAAAGGAAGTAAAATACTCTGCACACTAGGCTAAATCAAATGCTAGCAAAATCAACATTTAGTTGGAATTCGAACCATTATGAAACAAACAAATGATTAAATAAAATACTTTGTGAGGACGTACCGTCTTCGTCTCCTGTGTTGATGGTCTGCAGGGACATGCTTCTCTGAAGGGTCTTTAAGGGCTTCTTGATTTTGGGTTTCGGTAAATCCGGTTTCTCAATAATCTCAAAGGAATCTTCCATCTTATTTGTATTTGCATTGCCATTTAGCTCTGGCACCTTACAGACAGGGGACTGGCTCTGAGGAGTGACCACGCCTTCCTCTATAGTCTCTGAACTCTGATTGGCTCCTCTGCCTTTCAGGAAGTGCCTGAAAGAGCTGCGTTGTTTCTTAGCTCCAAAAAGCTGGTTTCTCTTCAAGCTTCCCTTTCCATCCTCGTCCACGTCCTCTGCAGGGGAACCAGGACTCTGGGGGGGGGCTGGGTCCACCTTGTCCTTGCTGCTTTGAAGCATGCCGTTCTGCAGGCCGTTCCTCTGGATCGGCCCCCCAACCATCGAGTCGCTGACTCTCGACAGGTCTTGTAGGGAACCAGTGAAGCCCGTACTGTTCCCAAAAACTAAAGAGTACTTAGGGTTGTGATATTTATGTGCAGGCACCTTTAAGTCTACCTGTCTAGAGTCCCCGACAGATACTTGAAAGCGAGACATGGACACAGGAATTGGCTGGATTCTCTCCACCTTTGGCATCCTGATGGGCGTAGAAATTGGCGGCTTGGTGATGTTGAACTCCTGGTAGAGGTCCACCAGCTCGGACACGGCATAGAGCTCCCGAAAGTCATTATCAAAGGAGTCCACAATCTGTCCCGACATCACGGTGATCGTGTTCCTGTCCATCCGAGAGGAGGTCCAGGTAAAGCTGGAGGAGAGAAGAGATATTTAAACTAATACTGTGGAGGAAGAGCAGGGTTCTTAGTTTGTATCCTTTTTTAATGATAATGCTAAGATATTTTATACCAACTTTATACTTACCAAAATAAAATAAAAAATACAATAATTACTTAGGGTCAAGGATATTTTTGCCCATTCTTTTTTAGACATTGACAATTTTATTTTTTTAACTGCATGCGTTCACAAAACACTGAAAATTATTTTGAGATTTTAAAATCTTATCTAAAAAAAACTATTTATAAAATCTTACCTCCCATTTTTTAAAGATTTGTTTAGACTTTAGAAAGATTCATTCAATATATATTAACACTTTAAGGCCTTTACATTATGCAGTACCATGCGTTTATTCAGGAAGAGGTCAAAAGGAAGATGGCCGATCAAGCGACAACAGTCGTAAAGCATCATTTTAGAGTGAGAATCTGAAGATTTAAACTGGGAGTACAGAGAGGGAAGTCGTTTGGATTCTGCTGCTCACCTGTGCTGTAATTCTTACTCTTGTGAGAGCAGTCAAGCTATTACTCGTACTTATGAAATAATCTAAATTACAACCATTGATGCAAGTAAACACTAACTTTTTGACAGAAAATGTCCTGTTATTAAGAAAAAAGAAAAACACTCGCTTCTATTGGCTAGCGCTCCCACAGTTTGTGATATGCTAATGAGTGGGACATCCCTAAGCAGTTGATAGATCACAACAGAGCTGGTCAGCTAACCAATCAGAGCAGACTGTGCTCTGGTTTCAGACAGAGGGTGAAAAGAGGTAGTGCAGCACAGGCAGTATGAGAAAAATAAAAAGCTTTTTGATCAATAAAAAGTGAAAAAGTAGAGACACAAAATACAAATATGGACTCTAAAAATGAGCATACAGTACGAGGGCCACTTTAAGCAGGCGGCGGTTAAAAGGAAATATTTGGCCTTGTGCACTGCAGAAAATTGTAAATAATTCAATTCCTGCCCACATATTAAATGAAGCGTGGAAACAGTTTAATAAAATTGAGGCCACAAATTATAACTCTTGGTTAGCATTTACCTCTACTGGTTCCCTCGTCTCAGAGTCAATGGGATTTCTCCATAGGATTTTGGAAAATAGCTCGAAATAAGGTCTGTGTTTGACACAAATTTAAGAGACGGATCACGTTTTGTTCTACGACATTAAATACATCAGCAGTGACCCCACTGGTGATTTTTGAAGAGTGTACGTGTCTGAAAAACGATGGTTGTTAACAAGTGGCTGAATAGGACTACAGAAGTTGTCTAGGACGTTGTACGTCATTACACCGAACACGTAAACACTCCCGCTAAGTTTGTTTGCCCCTGTTCTGCTTGAAACCAAGTGCCTGCGCTCTTGCAAACTGTTAAAACAAACGCTTCAACTTGTACAATTTAGAATCTGTATTTTTGAATATCGATCTTAAATTGGCGTGACGTTGAAGCAGCGACCCTGCTGTAGTTCGCTTATAGCATAACGTTAGCATTTTGCTTCTGGCGATTAGATTTATGATTCGAAAATGATAAAAGCAGGGTAGACATGTGGAGATTATCCGGCTGAACAAAGCGTGCATTTATCAAACAGGTTCGTTTTCCACAGACCTTATTTCGAGCTATTTTCCAAAATCCTATGGAGAAATCCCATTGCTTTTTTGTCGAGGGAACCCATGCGCAGCTTACTTCCGGGTAAATACGTCATCCCTGCACCACTCTATTGGTGATGTAAATAGGTATGGGAACCTCTGTTTCTCCATACACTCAATTGCGGTGTTGGGTTTAACCTCGTAAATCATTATAAAATTTGCTCTCAACTGACACCTAAATCAGTAGCCACAATAAACAACACGATTATCTTCAACACAGATTTGTGTGCAGGACCAACAGCAGATAAAGAGAGAACTGCAAAAAGCATTCCAGTATTTCCAGTTAGTTAATATGCTTCAGAAAGTCTTTAAAAAGTCATTAGTGTACTCGTTGGATTGGTTTTCTTTTGTGTTGTTGTAGCCTGCAGCTTCTAGTAAAAGTTTTTTTTAAAGCCTCAACACATTTGGATCTCAGAAGGGAAATCTTTCATCTTCAGTTTTTGTTTTTACAAAAGTGCATCAGAACCATTGTAGATTTTAAAAAGTTGGATTATGAAACTAGGGGAGGAGGAAATAACTTGCAAAGTCGTACATTTACAGGGGGAAAAAAATAAATGTACAACAAAAATCATTATATATATTCTCTTATAGTATCTACTATATAATATAGCAAGACAATTGTGAGATTTTTTTTTATTATCTGAGATGAGTGACAAATGATCAAGAAAATAGTTATGCTAATAGGTCAAATCTGAACAAAATGGCCGTCTTTTGGATAAATCCTTTGTTTTACTAACCTGTGTGTGAGATGTGATCATTGGCATAAATGAATCTCCTAAATTGCCATAATTCATAATTTCATGTACGTTTCTCGATCATCTCGCTATGTCTTTTCCTTTGTGTAAGTAAACTAGCTGAGTTTGAATCAGATACATTTGAATAATGCTAACCAAGTGTATTAATATTTCAAGCTCTCTAATGACTGATATAATTTGTAGTCGATGTAGAGCTATGAAATATGTAATATGCAGGCCACAGACTCGCACTCATAAAAGGCGCAGTACTGATATAATTACTTGTAGATCTTTTCTTTTTTTTTTTTTTTTAAATAAGAAAATAATTCAAATCCATTCTATTGACTGTGGCTTCCCAACTACGAAGGATTATAAAAGGTTGATGTCTACTTCTCCTACAAAATTGGGAGCAAGAATACTTAAGAGTTCTGTTTGTGTACTTTTGAATGGTCATTGAAAACGACACGTGTCCTTATAACCCCTGGATTTGAAGGCACTGCGAGACATTCATGCTCACCTGTAAGACCCAAACATGACTTTCTCTCCGTCCACCAGCATGTATTTGGAGCACAGGGACCCGGGCAGCTTTCCAAACGACAGGTTCAGCCCTGAACCTCTCACCATGCGCACACGGAGATTCTGTAAAAAAAACACCCGCTTGATTACACACTTCATCTGGCTTAGGAGGACACAGGTGAGCCTGAGTAAACTCTCTCAGCTTTGAATTGGGCCCATGTACAGTATATCATGCATGACGTGCCAAGACAAACTGTGCACACATTGCAACATTAAGTCAACTGTCCTGATAAAAATAAACTCTAACCCTTTGGACACATGTGTTTACTTAAAGGGCTGAGAAAGGAAAGAGACAGAGAAGGAGACACTAAACGGACACACTGGGAGGAGGCTTGGCTCTGCCGGAGCATCGGGTTACAGTCTTTGGATCTGTTCTCAGAATCTATGAATGTTCATTTGTGAGAAGTAAGAGTAACAGAGCCCAGCGCTCTGAAAAGGCCTTTCACTGCCGTATCAACTGACACCACTATAACCAAGGAATGCTCCAGTTATACTACACAGGCGCTACAAAACTCAGCTGGAGCAGATAAGGCCGGGTATTGTGTCCCTGTGGGGGTAGAGTGACAGTCTGACTCAACTGAACTGCTGTTCCAGTGAGATTAGACCTGTATGAAATGTTAGTTTATAAAAGTAGGAGGATTATGTTTAACCCTTAAATAAATACATGGGGGGGAAAAGGCCTTTTTTTCCAGCATCTTATAATTTAAATTCCTCAAAGATCTTATGGCAGACATCCCCCCTTTTATACTTTTTAAATATTTTTCTTACATTCAGAGCTTCTTGTGATGTTTTCAAATGAAGCTTTAGGTGTCTTTCGAAATGTTTAATGACATCATCACCATCACAAATGAAATTTATGGTGCTGAAAGATTGCCGATAGGCCTCCCTGGTAATAAAGGTACAGGCTTTTCTTTGTGTGCGTCAAGCTCGGAAGCAAACCGTTTTTGACCGCAATGATCATGTCGTTTACTTCCAATGACGACAAATATTGTTTCAAGCAGAGTACTTTGTTGGATAAAACATGTTGTGAATTTTGGAAATGATTGTATACTCGGTACATCCCTAAAATAATCAAAAAAATTGGAAATGTCCCTAACAAATTCAATTTGTAATAATATGGGCCTTTTGAAGCTTGTAAGTCAAAAAACATTGGCAGAAACATTCTCTTACATTTATGTCACAATTTTACCAGAAAGAAAATTGGAAAGATTGTGCGTAAATGTGTTCCTCGTAAATGTATGACAGAAATTCTGCAGAATATCTGGTAAATGTAAGACTTCAAAACTTGTTTTTTATCCTGGGAACATTACCTCCAACCTCTGGCTCCAGTAATTTTTAGATTATGTTTTAATTGCAGACAAATTGGGATAATACGTTGTGAAAGACCGATACAATGTTTTAATCCATGATAATTATTGCAGCCACCGCCATTGTGGATTTAAGGAGGAGAGGAGTGACCCACTTTCCATGTTCCCTCTTTGTGTGTTGTAGGAGGGAGCCTCCTCCCTCCGTCATGCTCTCCTGTGTTTGCTGAGCTCACCCGCAGATGGACTGCATTAATCTGCAGCCGTGTGCACATATCCAGGAAGTGGGGCACTCCCCTGGCCTCCAGCACAGCGTAGACAGCCACCCCCCGCCGTGATGAGGCATCCAGCAGGTCCTGGAGGATCTGCAGGTCTGTCAGCAGGTCCATCACTATGGCCACCACCTGGGGAAAACAAGTGGGGGGGAGAGGAGGCGGGGGGTTAAATGCAGCTAAACAGAGCGACAGCAGCTGTGGTGGAAAGTAACTAAATACACTCAATCCTAGTAATTAAATTGCATGCGTCTTTACACTATTGAAAACATTTTAGAGGGAAATATTGGGATAAGATTACAGGTTAATATTTTAGATCTTACATTTACGATGGGATTATAAAATAGTATGCATTGTTACCAAACCACTGGTTCTCAACCCTATTTATTAGACATACCACCACAGCCCAGTCAGATTATTTCATCCATTCACCCTTAACATTCAGCCAACAATGTCAACTATGGACCAGCATTTAGCTAATTATCTCATTTTCTTTTAAGTAGGAATGAGTTCAAATCTGTTTATTCATTCATTTTACTGTTTATCGATGACTTGGCTACTGCTTATCCATTACTACTAGTTACATTCACATAAAGTTCATTTTATTTTTTTAACTGTAAGAACATTTTCTATGGTTTTGTAAACCTACTCAAACTTTTTTCACACATATTCAGGGGAAGACTTTTGCTGGCTTCTTTTTTGTATTATTTAAATGGAGTGCATTCAGGATTTCTAGATCTTTTTATTGAAAGTACATTGTAGCATTGTGACAATCACCTTGACCAAGACAAAAGACAAGACACCGGAGATCTTCCCTGTTTGCCTGTATTATTCCGGAATCCCTTTTTTTCCTTTTGATTCTCTTTCCTCATATCCATTTTGTTTTCCAGTCAAATAAAACCTCCCCAGGTGGATATGTTAAGATGTGTGTGTGCACGTTACTGATGTCACATGTTTTTTTATTGGGGTTGATTTACATCTAGGTAGCTTTTATAGCAGACAACCCATACCGCCTACTGCAAAATTAGGACTCATTTTTAGCCACTCCCACTTTCGGCAAACACAACCACAAAGAGCGACATATTATTACTGTGTTATTGTGGTCTATGTAATTGTTATTTGCCAGGAAAGCACCAGTTGATACTTCATGGGAACTTGTTTTTCCAGGTGATTAAAAGGTTACTCACTGTTTTGGACGAAGTCCAGCAACGGCTGGGATTAACATTCTTAATTATTTCAAAAGCAGTGTCTTTGCTCAATACAATACATTACAGTACACGATCCGAGCTGAAGATAAATCATCCTGTAACAAGACACAGCAGGCTAAACATTGTACAACAACACAGAAAACTATTAACTAACACGCTTTCCATTTTAGTACTCTTGTCTTTAAGGCATCTTTACTGCGGCCTATTGTGATAAACAAACATGATGAGCATTTGCAATGAAGCGTTTAACAGCCACACTGGGTTTCAAATCTGTGAATGCAATGCAGATCATGCGAGGCTTTTAACATTTCCTTATTGCACCTTACGTATACTGTACATGTTTGGGCCTGATCAGTCTCCAAACAAGTTTTGCTGGAAGACAGTTTTATGTTGACAGCCGCTGGGTTGATTTTCATTAACATCCACCATTAAAACTAAACCATGCGTGAGTCTTTAGTATGTGTTAGCAAATAATGAACTTGAGTAAATGTACTAAGACATACAGTACACAAACACCAACTGCAGTTTTCAGAACGGTTAAAACACATAACTTAAACAATAGCTTTCTTAACTGACTGCAAACATATCTTTGTCAATAGACATTTCCTGCAACGTTGCGCTTATTCTTGAATGTAGTTCAACCAGAAAGCTGATTATTCACAAGTGATGAGATATATCTGGCATGAAAACCATTTCCCTCTTGCATTCAAAGCTCATAGCCCTAGTATAAAGTCAATTGTAACTTCAGGATAGCTAACTGTTTGGCAGGCTTTCATGAGTAGATAATTTACTTTACCTTAAGGGGAAGAATCTCAGTGTCGTCAGATATTATGCTGTCATGGCCCTGAGTAAGCTATTGTCAAAAGATAATAGAGGATAAACTTTAACACTCAAGCGTCGCCATTTCAAGCGATGAAATTAAATTCACTGTTATATTGATTAAAATGACAGATTTCTATAGGTTTGAAATAGTTCTGGAAGATAATAAACGTCTTTCTCTTTTCTCAGAGAAAGGAGAGCTAGTTAACGTCAGTTGCACTATGGTGCATTCAGGGTCTATTTACTCACATTCGCACTGAAAAACAGATATTAGAGAGAATTATGACTTAACTTCCTCACATAAATCAGTGGTAATAAAGCAGTGTATGTTGAAGTACATGGGATGTGTTGATTTATTTTAGTCTCATCCAATTGGTATTGAGAATCATGGAATTTCAATGATCATTTCATTGGTATCGACTACAAAGTTTCTGAAATTGCGAAATCCTGACCTTTAAATGTATTTTAATAACAGCTGTGCAACATTGCTTTCAAAGGGATCTGACTAAGCTATCTTCAAGCAGTCAAACTCTCTGGTAGAAACAAACCCTGTTACCTCAACCTGCAACTGTAGCCTCTGGTGCTTCACATCACACCAATCACCAGTGAACGCTCGCCTCTTTTGGCTAAAGCTTGCATACCTCTGGGGTCAAACATCCAGAGGGTGGAGGGAAACAAAGACGTTAAGAACCCTAACATGGCGGGGGAGGCAGAACAAGCCTATCTTTCTGCTGCAAGTCCTGATGTGAAGCTGACATTTAGACCTTCTCCGTCTGCACCTCGTATGACTCAGCTTGTTTAAACCTGCATTAGACTCTCCCAATGATGTACGTTTCTTTATTGATGCCGTGGGCTTTATCAAACCCTTCCCTGCTTTATATTGTAATGGAAAATTCTGCATGTGCAAAATATGATTTTGTATTCATGCACATTTTAACAATTTTCTGTATGTATGGTAAAAAAGTTGGTTATGTTATAATGGTCTGTGGGAAGTTTAACCTGCCTGGGCATATTTATGTCCCTACTCGGTCTTTTTTTGTATCTGTCTCCATCCGATTGTACTGCCTTTAACCGTGTGTACAGTATATTAGCAGCAATTCATAAAGACACACCCCTGTCAGACGTTTAGTAACTTTCTTTCTTTCTTTAATCCTCCAGGAGATACACTGACTTAATGTAGGCAAACACACATTTTTAAGAAAAGAATAGTGCTTTTTCAAGACGTAATCTAAGTGCATGTAAGTTATGAAGCTACGTTATGTAATTGTTATTTAAAACATAAGTTCTAAATTATTCTGACATTATCATTATCTATCTAGCTAGCTATCCATCACATGATGAAGGAAGTCACTCCTGCAAGCTGAAACAGAGAGTAGCTGTGCAATGCCGTTAACCATAATAATACATCTGGGTATTAAAGCTTATCCGCCATTTTTACTTTCGAATAACATGTTGAAACCTGTCCGAAGTTTGTCAGACCGACCATAAATCGGATTAATAGAGTCACTGTAGTTCTTTGGGTTTAAATCAGTAATATCTGACCCATAACGACATACTGTACATCACAACATATCCAGGAAATACAGAGTTAGATAGATAGAGAAAGATACTTTATTTGAGATGAACAATATCACTCTCATAGCCCTCCGTTAAATGTAAGATTACACCTTCTACCTCTGTTAGCTTAGCATAGAGGCTGTCTATGGTTGCCCAAACACTTTCTTTTCCTGATTTTAATTTTGGAATATCTTTAGGTTTTATACTGACACAAGGGGACATTTATGTATATGTCCCCTCTGTGGGACGATTAAGGGTGTTATACAATTTTTAGGCATATATTATAGGTCTCAGATATATAAAAATATGTCTATGAAGTGTTTTGTTGAAAATACCAAACAGATACCCCATTCTAGCCATGCCTCATACCTCTCTATTTCAGCCCTGTTAGAGACGTGCTGATTCTGGGCCTGTAGCTTTAAAAAAAAGAAAAGAACGTTTAAAAAAAGGAAATAAGAGGGGCGGAGCTTATGCAGGAGAATTCTACCCAGATACTCAGCTAAATGCTACGGTGATTAAACGCCAGATCATGTTGAAAAATTTAAAAAATATGATAGGGCCGTGGGCGTAAAGCCAGCCCACATTTCCGATATTACGTCATATCGGCAGCAAATCTGGATCTGCTCCGTTGTACCCTAGTTTTTAGAGATTTGGGTACGGAGGAATAGAAACAGGGTTTTGTTTTCTGACACTTTGTGAGTTCCATTACACACAGGGGACACATATTCATGATGTTTTTTTGACCATATTCTGACATTTAATAGACCACACAATCAATAAATGTATCTATAAAAATGTTTCAGATTTATCAGTAATGAATTGTTATTTGAATCCCGAATAACTCTACGTGTATACACTAAGGGGTGACTTTTAAAAGCTCTTAATTTTGGTTATAAGAGCTTTAACTATGGGCCTTTGTTTAAGTTTTGGTTTCGATAGAAGATTCCATAACTTCAGATTTAAGCTACCTGTTAGAGATTACAATCAAAGGATGTCTCCTCCGGTTTGAAATGAATGCTCTAGATCAGGGGTGCCCACACTTTTTCAGCTTGGGAGCTACTTTTAAAATGACCAAGTCAAAATGATCTACCTATAGGTACATACAAAATGCTAAACATATATATATATATATATATATATATATATATATATATATATATATATATATATATATATATATATATATATATATATATACTGAGTATACCTGATGTTGGTGTACCTTGCATAACTGCATGAACCCGTATGGCACAATACAACTCAGTACATTTTTGGTCATTACGTCAATTTTATACCCTTTCTTTAGTAGAATTGTATAAATTGGAAGGCTAACGGTAATCAGCTCGCCGGTGATTTGCAGCTGGTGCGGTTGACCGCGCATGCGTGGTGAACTGCGTGTTGAGATCTCAGACTGGCTTACTGTACCTGTACGTCAATCAAGTGGCAAATGCCATATAGTAAGGATGGATGATAGGCTAACTTTTTTAAATTTGTTTTCAATGCCATGCGATCTACCCAAACTACCTTTGCGATCGACGTATTGGGCACCCCTGCTATAGATCCTGTCATCCATTACATGCTTTGGCATTTATTAATAAAATGCATGTGGAGTGACATTGATGGTTTACGCCTGGGGGCAAATTGTCTGTTACACCTGCAGGAGGCGGTCACATGATCACCTGTAGCCAATCATTTTGAACATTTTTCACGAGCTTTGTTCTGCTGTCTCTGAACTGGTTGGGGACATGAAGTACAAGAAGTACGTTAATTACTTAACGTGCAGTAAGGGGCATACATTTAGTTTCCCTTTACTTTAAAAAAGGGAAACATGTAGACCTATAAGGTTCAACACATTTGTCTTTGCTCAACATAAACATTTTGCTTCTCGAACAATTCTTTATGTGTATATTATTCTCTTATTTTTTGCACACTTTTCAAATGAATTTCATTGCATGCATTGTATTTGTATTTGGATAAAGCAAGAATTAATGCTTTTAATTACATAAGTCTCAAAACAATAATTGTCTTGTGTATGCCACAATTGAGTTATAGCTTTGCAAATGTGAACATGTTCTGCTTTAATTAAATATGTATTGGTTTGGCACTGTTGTTCAGACAAAAGAAGATATATAAAAGACCTACCTATATACCCTTTTGCTTTGGAAAACTTTTATAGATGATTTGATTTATCACTACAGAAGTGTAATTGCTCTAATTGTTGGTGGCAGCCTCGGTTGTTTTTAAGTAATGAGTTAATGAGTTAATGAGTTTTACTCATGTCGCCTCGTGTTTTTCACAAAAACAAAGTACAAGTTCATACAAAGTATTGTGCCTCTATGTAACCATTAATTACAAGAGAACATTTTAACATAGCAATTTCACCAACATTTAAAATAAAACGTTTTCTGGTGAAAATAAAATTGTAGTTTTTTTTAAAAGCTATACCATTTTTTTTAAAAACACTTGTTCACTTTGTTACATTGGAACCATTTCCTTTTTTTTTTTAATACTTTATTTAGATTTGACTAAATTTGCTTCAAACTTTTTAAAATAAGAATGGACTTGATATGTTTTGTTTTGTGTGTTTATTTTTGCAGGCTGCAGTCATCACTCAGTCATTTTATTGTAAAGCACTTTGTAACCTTAGCTTACCTTTTTTTCAACAGTTTGGTATCTGCTTATTTAAATGAAAACCCTTTTGTTATAGTATGTTATTATATATCCTTGTACCACAATAATGTGTCGAGATAGGACCACACATATTGTTGTATTAATTAATTAAGTAAAAGTTACCTTGTGTGCCTCCTGTATGAGCCTCCTCACCACCTGCTTGATGTGCGGCCCGGGGCCCCTGGGCGGGTGGGAGTGCACGCTCACCCGGGTCACCCCCTTGTAGACGCCGCTGCTGCCCGGCCAGCCGATGTCCAGAGGCGGGACCTCGGTGTCGGACATCTCGGGCCAGTATGTGGAGTGCAGCCCGGAGTCCGCGCTGGAGGACCCCTTAGACTTCTCCTGGTCCCCGGACTCGGAGTCACTGTCCGTGTCGTACTCGTTGAACATTTTCCGGAGGGACCTGATCTCCCTGGCCGAGAGGAAGTCTTTGATGTTGTCCTCCTTCAGCCGCATCTTGAAGGCTCCGTCCCCGCTCTTCAGGAGCCGCTCCAGGGCGGCCCGCTGCTCCTCGCTGTAGTAAAACTCCGGTTTGGTCTCCGGGATCTTTTCGTTGACATGCTCATCGTCCAAGCACAGCAGCTGGGAATCCGCCATAGCCGGTTTAAGTTACCCCGAATCTGGTTACCTGTGCGGCAGGTATACGGCAGGTGCTCCCAGGTGAGTGGCTGCAGGAGGCGGGACTGACTACTGAGTGGAAGTCAATACGGCAGTTTAAAGCCCCCCCCCCCCCAATTTATTACAGAACTTCCTGAAGCAAAACTTTCAGAATAAAATAAAAAGTTGTTCTGACCTTTTGGGAAGGTCAGCTGTTTCAATCAATGGTGGAATGTAAATCAATACATTTTAAGTTATGTAATCAAGTACTACTTTTAGGTACTTTACCTGTTTATTTTCACTATTGCTTTTTGCAATATACCATTGTTCAAGGCTACAGTACATTTATACTTTTATACTGTGACTTGTAGTGTTTATGTTTGTGTTACCTGTACTTTGACTTCACTACATTTGTCTGACTTTAGTTCAGTTTTCAGATTTAGTTACTTTTCAGATTACAAATTGTAATCCTCCTCCTGTAAAGTGAAGTCATCCGATATAATAGTTTTGAATGTTTGTGTCAACATTTATTCTCTAAAAAAAAATATTATTTTAATTATCGATTACATGTTTTATGCAGAAAAGGGTCAGTTTGGTGGTGCATGCATGTAGGTGCTTTTCATCAAGAGAATGGAAATGATGTGTACGCCCTGGCTGTGGCGCACAAGGAAGTAAGTGTTTGATGGTTCACATGTGTCTACATGTTAAAGCGTCCTAATAAACATACTGAAGCTGCTGCCATTGATGTGAGCATATAATTGCAGTCCATTTCCATAATTTAATTCATACAAGGTTTTTTTTAAATCATATAAAGAAACACTTTCTTGCCATATAGTTTAAATAAAAGTACCATAGGGAAGCTTTTATTGTAAAGGCTAACTTTTATTACTTCTGGTTTTATTTTTGGCTGGTTCAGACAACCCTCACAGAGACACGAAATATGACTTAATTACCTCGATAAAAACATTTCAAGTTTCTATATAAATAATTAAAACAATAAAACAAATCTAATAATAATAATTTGAAAACAACAATGCTTTAAAGGAGGAGTTTCTTGTTGTGGTTTTCCTTTGTATTTCCACAGAAGTACCTCATGACTCAGATTATTAAATTAAAACCTCAAATCAGTGATAAGAACAATTTTATTGCGAGGAAATTACACATCTATGATAAGTATTCAAACCTCTTGTAAATCAACTGAACTAATAAAAAAAAAAACTTTATGTGGTATAAAATGTGACTACACTTACAACACAAGCAGACACAGTTCATCAGCAGACCGGCCAACAAACATTTGGCTGGTTTTGGAAAGTTCATTCGGGTGTGTCTGTGACCTTTTAGATGTATGAATATTAACTGACTCACATTCCTTGATGAACTTGAAGTGCTGAGGTTAAATAAGTCAGTTAGTCAGCAGCTGCAGAGCGAGTCTGTGAACGCGTGCAGGCTCAGTAAGTGCTTCGCCTGCTGTGTTTTCTCAAAGCTGCGTTGTGTAATTGGCAGGAAACAGCCCGCTTTTCCCCCGCAGCTTTCCTCTCCACCACGACGGGTCAGAGCGATCCAACACCTCAATGATGTCGCCTGTGCTGAAACCCAGTTCATCTTCTTCTTCTGCGTTGAAGTCGTACAGCGCCTTGACCTGCAGCGTGGACGCCCTCTAAGGGACAGAAGAAAGGTAAAATGTTGGTGTTGGGTATCAGTTTAAAGGTCACCTATCATGCTATTTTTAGGCAATAGCATAGGTCTCAGATATATACAAATATATAAAAAACATGTCTATGAAGTGTTTTGCTCAAAATACCAAACAGATCACCCATTCTAGCCATGCCTCATATCCCTCTATTTCACTTCCTGTTTCAAAAAGTGCTGATTTTATGTATAAAGCTTAAAAAAATAAAGATTGATAAAAAGAAAAAGGAGGGGGCTGAGCTCATGCGGGACCCGGCAGAGTTTACTGTCTTAACTAAATACTGCGGTGATGAAACGCGATATCATGGATTATCAAGGATTATTTCTGAAACAGTATAGAGCTCAAAGGCTTTCTCTCTTGCTGGTTATATCACAAGGTGAGTTCCTTTTTATTTCCTGCTTCTTCACACACATGCTCTATCCAGTACAGGTTAGCTCTGAGTGTTAGCGATGCTAATGTAAACATGCACCGACTATATTACGTCCAAAACAGTCGGGCATTGTTTCTGATAGCAACGTTTCTGATAGGGCCATGGGTGTAAAGCCAGCCGACATTTCTGATATTACGTCATATCGGATGCAAATCTGGATCAGCTCCGTTGTACCCCCGTTTTTAGAGATTTGGGTACGGAGGAAAAGAGAGAGGGTTTTATTTTCTGACGCTGCGTGAGTTCCCCGACACACCGGGGACACATATGTATGTATAAAAGACATCAAAAAGTGCATTTTGCATGATAGGTCCCCTTTAATGTCCTGTTTAAAGTGTTAACCATTATTTATGATTAAAAAAACCTTTCAGTGAATAGAAATATGTGCTGTTTAAGTTACAAATAACTTACATCTGTGATATAAAATAGTTTTCCCTGTAATTAACATGCATTTTTTTTTCAGGTGAGTTTTAATTTCTCAATGCAGTCTAAAAACTAGGTAAATATTTAGTGTATTATTAAGGTGTGTAACATATGTATGTTACTTTCTTTCTGTGATATATGTATTTTAATTGGTGCCTATCTGCTTTTTAGGAAATTATAAATGTTATTAGTTGTATTTAGAGAATTTGTTGATGGTGCACTTCAGCCTCTTGTGGCCAAAATGAGTTTTATAAGGATTAGGGTTAGAAAAACAAGTGTTCACTACGTTACACTTTAGACGCCTGCTTGAATGATGAAACAATAAAACTCAACAAGTTAGTTTTATTATCTATGATTCAAGTCAGCATCAATGACAAAATCCTAGAGAAAACACTCTGTAGGTTTTGTTGGACCTGTTAAGCCCCAAGCCTGTTTTGCAGGTCTCAGGCTCGACAATGACATTCCCAGAACAAATGACAATAACTTCCCTTCTAAAAGGGTTAAATTAATAACCTTTTTTCTCAAAGCAGAGTTGGATGTAGAAAAGTCAGAATCAATATAGATTTTTTTTATTTTAAAGTCAATTCAGATTGAACATAGTAACAAAAATGTAAATTATAGTGACGTCCAAAACAAAACCATTACTTATAGTGAAAACCACCCTTGAATGATGGGATGGTAGACTAAAAGCTTTAGGAATCCAAACTATAACATATAATAAGTACCCTGTATCAAGATTGATGCAAAACAAGTGACATTTGACCTTTTTAAGAGAGGTTTAGCAACAACAAAAAACACCTCTGGGGTCATTTGGGTGGAAATGGGTGTATTTGCCGTTTCTCTGGAACCCATTGGTGTGATTTTGATGATTGACATCTCTTTTGAACCGTTAGAGCCGATAGAATCGAAGGGGAATTTCCACATACACACACACGTTACCATTGAGAAGTGAGAACTATGCGCATGCAGTTTGCCCAAAGCGAAACCTATCTTACGCTCTGAAATCTGAAAACTGAAAACTAGGTTTATTGCTGATGGATTATCAGAGATCATTTCAAAGTGACACAGACACATTGGATTAACCTATGGATTAACCTTCAGCAGCGTTTTTATCGTTTTAATGCAATTGAACACAACTTTTGATCAGAAAACAACAAAGGTAAGACATATTGCCGTGTTGGCTACCTAATGCTACGTGGTGTGATGTCTTTGTTAGCTTCTCATGTTGCGAGTTCGGATCGGTCAGTAATGATACCAATACCTGTCGAATCTGTGGAATCTCAGCTTGCTAATCGGTATCTTGTTTGTGCAGATACGATAAGTAATAAGGGTATTTTATCGTGAGTTCTGTGCTAAGTGTGTTAGCCTTTTTTTGCTCAGGGCTAATTCAGAGCCTTTGTTATTACCCTTATGTTTCGTTTTGCTAAAAATGGTTAATATTGTCTGATAGCTGAGTTTCTTCCCGTTAAGTGGGTATGACACATTAATAGGTTTTTAAATGTTAAGAAGCCCTCAGACGCTGTTTCTTGAAGATGTTGCGATTTTTCCCCCGCCCGCGGGGGAATGGGGCTTCACAGGTTAAGTCAAAAAGTTATTTGATGATAAGGTTCTGCGTAATTCTGTTTGTAACTGTTTGATTTTTACAGATAAAGAGAGAGGCTGACCTGAGGGGGGGGCAAGGTTTCAGATGCGCGATGGGGAGGAAAGCCACCTCTGAGGGGGCTGCTTCTTCCTGTGTGACCGATGGTGTGAGCTCGCTCCTCCAGACCCACTCTCTTAGTCTGGAACAGAAAGGAAAAAAACACTTTAGCTGACTGTGTACTCAAACAGACAGGTAACAACTGATTCATAATTATCAACAATCGTAGTAGGCACTCACTGGTAAAGGAAAGGTAAGGTTAAACTTGAACAGGTGTTTATTGAAAATGAATTACAGCCACACGGAATAAGTGTAACTATCAAGTGCTAACAAGTTCTAAACCTGTTGCGATCCAAACCGGCATGCTTCCAAAGATCTAACCATAGATCATAAACTATTTTTGGCCATGTCTGCTAGTATTGGCCATGTTTCATACTGTCGTGTTTTCACTCGTTATGGGAATATTGGAAAGTCGACTGCTGAATCAGCTGATCAGACACGCGAGGTAAATGCAGAGGTGGGAAGTAACTAAGTACATTTACTCAAGTACTGTATTTTTTTTAGATAATTTTTACTTTACTTGAATATTATATTTCCATTTTATGCTACTTGGTACTTCTACTCCACTACAATTTAGAGGTAAATCATGTACTTTTACTCCACTACTTTTTATTTAACACCTTTAGTTACTTCGCAGATTTTGATGATTTGAACTATATTCAACACTTAAATAAGACTTTATTTACACCTGGAGTAACAATCACAAGCTACCCTATAATTGACAAATTGCAAAATAAGTACTTAATTTTGCTACTTTAAGTATATTTTGATGATAATACTTTTCTACTTTTACTAAAGTTACCTTTTGAATGCAGGACTTTTACTTGTAACAGAGTATT